GAGTATTACTTCTCTAGATCATTTCACTAAAAAGACTGCAGCTTTAGGTCATTCACACAGTTATTACCGCTATTACTGTCAGTAATACCTAAATGTAGTAAGATGCATATGTGCCTTTAACAGGTGTTATACATATTTGACCTACTGGAGTTTATTGTGAGTTTTACCTATCTGGATCTCTTTAGTAGAAAGACTGCAGCTTAAGGGTGAAGCTGAATTGCACTCTGTTATCGTTGTATACTGAAGCTTTATCAGTTGAAAGTTTACTTGTTCCTGGCATGCCAGACTCTCGCTTTTAAAAATGCTACCGGCCTTTTTAACTAATTGAAGAGGTTTCATTCTTCTACTTCACCCAGCCTATCCTAATTCCTGGCACAGAGATTTGTGCTGAGAAAGATCGCATGAGCATGAAATTTTGCTTAGGTAGTAAAGTTCAAGTCCTTATTCCCGATTGTACGGATTGGAAAAATTATAGTTTTAGTTTGGAACTAAAAGTCATCTTGTACTTTACTGATGGTTTTAAAGCTCTAAAAAGTGTTGGAACCTTGCTCTCTGTAAGGATATGGCTCACTGTATTCCAAATGAAGGTCACTGCATACAAGTCAAACACACGAAATGGTTAAAAGGCACCCTTATCAGAGTAGCTACACTGATAGTGAAGTAGCAATCGAGGCATTGGACTTTGAAAGACTGTCTTCTCATTAAGGATTTTGGTGGATTGGTGCGATATGCTTTAACACTTGGTTTTGCTAGCTGTCTAATCAAGCTAAAATCATTGCAATGACAGTCTGCAGACAAGGAGTGGATCAGCCATACAATTCTGTAGACCAAAGACTGCTCGGCTACAGAGCTGATTTCTTTGCACAACACGCCCTTCCTTAGTAGAATAGAATTGAGATTGTTGGTAGTTGATTTGATGTGTTATAATGGTCTATGTTATCAGTTTAACAAAATGGGTTTGTCTGTGTAAACAAAATGTCTATTCTTTTCAGAGGCGAATGAGAGCTGTAGTCATATTCTTTTAGGTTATCCAGTCTTGATTTGGACAACGTGGAGATGAATACATAAATCTTCTATTCCCATATGATGTTAGAATGGTTTCAAAATCTTACAGCTTAGTTTCTATTTGAAAGGCAAGGTCTCTTCTATTCAGTTATAAGATCGTAGTGATTAATTTTTTTCTAATTTTTTTTCTAATTTTTTCCCTAGGTACGAAAAATCTAAAGTCATAGGACTTCAACTTACTAAAACCACCGCTTGGGAATGAATTTTAAAAAGGTTCTTGTTGTTAATCGACGAAGAGTTGATTTATAAAACTCTATTCCGAGAGCAAGCCAGCTAAGTAGAAAGCATGGCGCACAAGTTAGAAAAACTAGAAAGAAGAGGCTTGTGAAAAGAGTAGAATATGTACATATGTATGTTTTATGCATTGTATTTACTCGTATTGAATAAGTTTATTGATTCAATGATTCGTTAATATTAAACGAAAGGCTGTATTTATGGGAACACTGTAAGAACTAAGTGGATACCTTTTTTTCTAATCTCATCTGCAAATAGTTTAAAATTAGCACATCACTTGCAAATATATATATTATATATCAAGTACATATTTAAAATTTATTACGATATATAACATATGTTATAATAAAAATTTTACGATATAACATGAAATATTCAACAAATAAGATAAATTTATCTGCAAAGAAGACTCAATGTATATTGCATAGTTTTAGGTGCCTATTAAAGTAAATGATTATTTAAAAAATTAATCCAAATTGGAGATGTCCATTTTATGATGTTTAAATGGTATTAAAAAAAAACCTAAAATTTAGAAATATTGAAAATAAAAACCATAAAATAAATTACTTCAAACTTCTGTCACACGATTAGAGTTTAAAATGCTTGAACATTCTCTTTCATTACTTCAGCTTCAATGTTATTTCAGCACGTATTATCAATTTGATGGGATCAACGAGAAGATATATATTTCACATTCACACATTCCGCAAATATCTAAGGTCGACACTGTCAAATGTTATTTTTATGGGCGTACATCCGTATAAATTCGCCAGGGTATGCAAAGTGTGCTGACGCAATTTGTGCCTCTGCGAGCAACCATAAAAACGCGCTTATTTCCGCAAGAGTAGAAATCCATGTGAACTACACAACAGACACGCCCATATTAAAAATTCAATTGATGAGATTGCAATGGAAATTATAATAAATTGAATTTCACACAAACGTTGGTGAATGTTTTCAACGCCTTCCTTGTAATAAGTGAATTACGAGATTGTCCTGGTGTGGATACGTGCACATCGAAGTGTTGCAATAAATGTTAAAAACACATTAGCGTAATTGTGCCGCAGCCTATATCAATGATATCAATGCATCGCTCTGATAAACGGAAACGGATGTGTTTCTCTTCTTAAGTGGAAATTTGCATTTGTAATTTATAACGCAGAATGTGCCATTATTTGGATGTGCATAAGTAATTCTGCGGTTACTGGATTCGATATGCAAAACGTTTACCTTCGAAAGGAGGAAAATCGCTTCACTGAATTTTGCATCAAATTATAAATTACGTTATGGAGATTATGGAAACAATACTATAGTCAGTGGTTATATAAATATATTTATAGAATTATGAGAGATACTACTATAAGTAATAATAGTAGTTAGTTTGGAACTCTTCAAGGCAGTTTAAATAAAAAGTAGTCTAAGGATTTCATAAGACTTCGTAAGACTTTGGACAAAATAAAACTATTATAGTTTCATCTATAACCAAATTTAATTAAATAAGGATTTTTTTACTATACAATCAACAACTTGGGAAGTATATTTATTTATAATTTAGCATGGTCAGTTTATATTTATTTAACACATCCATGATGCAATGATTATAGATCTGAAATACACAAACTACACAAATAGTTTATCAAAACGTGCAGAAAAATTAATTTAATGTTGTTTAAATTAATTTAACATTAAAAATCTGGCACAAAAAGCCATCAAAATTTTCATGATATGCAGATCTATCACAGATAAGACTTGGGATTTAATATTGAAGAAAGTCTATTAAGTCCACTAAAGTACTTTGGTGAAGTTATTTAATAATTGTCAGATTATGTTGTAATACTGTATGATATTTCATAACGCAAAAAGCAGTGATTAACACTCTTAATAGGCATATAATATATTATGAGAGCCATATGTACGATTACGACAGTATCTATTCAAGTCCACTTAAAATTCACACCTTTTCGTATTCATATTCTATCATATTCAAGTAAGGAGGGCCATTTTACGGATGATTAAAGACAACATTGGGCTGTTGTCCTAATCGTATGAAATTTGATATTCTCGAAAAGTTAATTCCTGAAATTGTAAAGGAATTAACTGAATTTTGTAGTTGCAACAGTTCAGATGGTAGTTAAAAACCTTAAAGATATATTAAAACATTGTAGCTTGGTATGCGGGGTGCTTCCTTACTGAAGAAGGGGCCAGAGCTGAAGTTGATTAGACTAAGTTAATATAATTAGAAGCGCTAGGTGAAAATATAACTAAAATTGTCTGTTTTTGCTATGGTTCTGTCAGAGCTATAGAATAATCATCCCAACTGATAGCCAAGCAGTAATAAAGGTTCTTAGTTCTCATCAGACGATATCAGTACTTTAAAAAGTCGAACAGCCTTGGCTAAAACATTTGGATCCAGATTCTAAGGGCTCCGTGACACACTGGAATTTCCGGCATTAAAATTGCATCCAAATTTAAGCGGGACAGATGCAACGCTCGTAGGTCCGTTACTATTCCGTCGCTTGGAAAGAAGTAGCTTCTTCTCACTAATTCGGAAAAATAAGGAGAAATAGCAAAAGTTATGTTGGGATAATGTATCAGAAATTTCGCAAATTAAATCGCGAATAAATGCTTTCAACCTAAAATAATTTGAGAAGTGTATGCAAATAAGTAAAAATAAT